ACTATATATATATATATATATATACATGTACATACATATGTATTATATAATATGTATGTACATGTATATATATATATATATATGTATGTTATAATAATTTAAAATTATAATGAATCTGGGCATGTGGCACTATAGAGAATGAGAGGAACTAGATATTCGGAAAAGAATGTTCGTTTCTGCGAACGAAGTGATCGCATCACATTAGAGCTGTATGTCATGGCTATATGGTCTCTACCTGGTCTTGGGCCATTGTTTCGTATCACATTGCACATGAATACGTTCACATTTTATCTGATGTGAAGCCATACGTTCGGGAGACGTTTTCTGATATACTCGTGTTCTTTTCGTTCAGGATAATTCAATGCATCGGATCAGAGTGGTTCAGGATTGGTTAGCCACACAATCCAACCTTGAAACATTAAATTGGCTAGTCAATATGAATGTAATTAAAAATCTTTGGAGTATTATTGTTTAGAAATAGAACTCTTAATTTCGATATAATCGCGAGGCATTGGCATCATCAATTTATGGGAGAGTTTCCGCGTAAGGTCTGCGTTATTTCAAAATTTGGCTGCATCAATGCTTCAAAGATTAAATGTAGTAATAGAGACACATGGAAGTGTTACACGATACTAATTATTCCAAACAATACAGAATATTTCAGCAGCGTTTGTATTGCTTATTGTTTATTTATCAATAATTAATAGTTAATGTGTTAATAGTATTTATTGTTTATTATTTACAATTATTCATTTGTGTTTTTGCAATATACTGAAATATTTTATACAATATTATATGTGAACTTCTATGGTTGATATGAGAATAAATGATTTCAACACGAACAATTCTTGTAATGAATGAAAAGAATTCTTGTAATGAATGCAAGAAAGAACTTTGAATGAATGTAGAAAATGGACAAGGAAAGCCATGTGAAATGCTTTTGGATGGCAATTGCCCTTTTTCATATAATTATCATTTCGCCGTCACTATATTCGCTTCCTGTCGGCATTTAAACAACACTCATCTTTGATACTCTGAAAATATTAAAGTTATTTATATCAATTATTATTATTTAATAATTGTTTTATTATCTTTATTTTTATTATTTTATTACTTTATTTATAATATTATTTTTTATATTAATTACTTACTTAGAATCCTAATATCCTATGCCAATGACAGTAAAGAATTACGAGGTCCATTGCTCTTACTCATCGACATTGCAGATAAATGTAACTTACTTAAAATATTACTGTAAATTAAAAATACATAATTAAAATATAAAGTAAAAAGATTATACTAATTGGGCTTTCGAGATTCAAAAGTTATCAAATAATTTACGGACAATGAGAGTATTACATTGCGCAATTTATATAATAATCTTAAAAATTCGCAAAATATATTAAATATA